AGTATATCTGCCACCCCCCTTTATTCATACAATATTCTTGAATGGAAATTGATCAATGAATCATCCATGAAATTATTTGAAACCTCATGCGAAACATTTTGTATCTAGATAGAATGTGTAGGTCTTGTTTTTTTGATGTACTTTTTAAATTAATCAAAAAAAGAAATTTATTTCAAGTTTTTCTTTTTTATTTAATCATCCCGTACATCTTAATAAGAAATTCTGTTTAAAAAAAAACTTTCATACAAAACAAGAAACAAAAAAAAACATAAAATTTTTCCAAATTTCAAAGCTTTAAAATTGCTTTTATTTAAAAAAATTATTAAAATGACTCTCAAAAGAAAAAAAAACAACGAACAAATGAAAATGCAATGAAAAAGCAGGACATCTGAAAAATGTTGATATTTCTTCTATAGGGGAAAACAATTTCAAAAAAAAAAGTAATTATCTGAGCAGAAACAAAATTTTGTTTTTTAATATTAAAATTTTACGTACATGCCATTTAATTATAAGATTTAATCTTCATTTAGACTAGACAAATGAAATCCAAAATCTTCGTATAATATAACAAGTGTATAGGTACACAAGTCCAACTCTATATACATTTCTAGAGAAATTTTCAGAGAAGCAAACGAGATTTTTTTTTCACATTCAACTATATTACTTGGATCCTTAATAATCTAGAATATGAAAACTTGCTTGTATACGGACGTACTCTACAGACATGTGTTTGATAATTTAATTTTCTGCCATATTTTTTTCTTTTTAAAATAGTTCCCCCATTTTTTTGAATTTTTTTAAATTCTTTTCCAAATTATACAATGATAATGAAGTTTTGAAACATTAGATTTTTCTAATTTTTTTTGTATGTTTTTATAAGAAAAACTTTGTCTCAAATATTCTTGTCTATACTAATATTACTTGAGGCTATTAAGGTTTTTCTACAATCTGAAAATTTTAACTTTATAATTATGGAAATATTTTAAGGATCTTTAAGAAAATATGAAAATTCGACATTTTTAATTATAAAAGAAATTTAAAGTTATAAAATATAAAGGTGTTTATATGATATTTTTACACATGTGTATATGTTGGCGTATATATTTGTATTCGTGCAAGGTAAACCAACTTAAAAATTCTAGAGTTAAAAAGGAGAAGATTAATTTATTCCATTTGTAAGCAAATGAACTGCAGATACATGAAAAATAGAATTTATATAATTTTTTTTTTATTATTCTATACCCATAATATTATGAAGATAAATTTTAGAACATACTAATTAAAATTTAAGTAACATAAAGTAAGTACGTAATAGAAGTTCTAAAAAAACAGCAAACACTAATTTTCCAACTTATTCAGCAGTAAAAATTATTAGTAAAAGGCACACCTACATATTTCATAAAATTGAAATTTTCCTTTATTATTGGCTATTTTATGTTATAAAATTTAGTTGAAATTGATTATTTAACACAATATCCTTGACAAGATTTTTGAAGAATGAATTGCATACTTCAAGGCTTTAAAGTAATTCTGTATTTATATGCGCCTTAATAAAAGATTTGTTTAGACAAAAAATAAATGTATTCAGCTAAATAGTATTAATTAAATTTATTATTTATAACCAAAATTTTAGTTATCATTGTCATCAACACTTGTGTTTCAAAAATATTATTGATTTCTATAGTATAATAAGTTCTTTTTTTGGGAACTGAGACCCTTCTAACGTTGACCCATAAAATCTTCTGTGATTTCCATTTCCACCTTCATTAGCACTAAACCTAGGCCGTTGACAAATTGCAGTATGAAAGTCACTGTTAGCCACGAGATTTCCATCAGATTCACAAAGCCCCCGCATCCATCGCTCCAAATTTACACAAGTGTTCCAGACAGAGATCAATCCGCCGTCTCCGTCCTCTTCCAGGCGGGGACCCATCTTTTTTAAGATGAATCATCGAGAAGTAATGTCCACTGAATACACCCATAATTAGCTTCAAATTTTAACGACCCAGTGTAGCCAATTTCCGTTCCCCTGGTCACAAGGATGATACAAATTTTTTGAAGTGAGATAGGCCAGGACAATTGTTCCAATGATCGATCCTGGCCAGTTCCTCCCAAACATTCAGAGCCGAAGATTTCCCTCAAGCGAGACTATCAGTTCTCTCATTTCCGTCTATGCTGTAGTGTCTCTACATATATTTATATTAATTGCTATATGTATATAATCCTATAAGAAGATTTATCAATTATAAGTTTTCCGTATGTTAATGAAATGTGATTGATTTCTCGTTAAAAAATCATATTTCAGGAAAATCAAACAATATTACCGTTATAATACAAACGTCGTTATAAAGAAATCCGATGGCATTTTATATACACAATCGATAAAAAATATATTAAGATGTATTTGGATGTGATTGCCACGTACCTGCATAACGTTAAAAAAATATTTACGCATATTATGACTTTGATTTATCAGAGATTAAGGATAACAAGTACTCTTACCCACATTTTAATTACCAAGATTATTTTGAAGGTAAAATAATTTTTTATTTAAATATATATATGTATATATGATTACATATACCATAATTATTATGTACGTTATGCATATACGTGCTTATAAAATTTAATTGATTCAGTACCCTTTTTGTGGTGTAAATTTCAATAGAATTTTCTATAATATGAAAATTCATTATAAACCACACATAAAAATTCTATGAAATTTAATTTAGTTCAAAGCTAAGTCTACAAAATTTAAAATTCCGCACGTATATTTATAAAATGTGTAACTACCTACATACTTATTTTTGAGAAAAAAAAAATTTCTTTGCATGTATTTAACCTTGAAAATTTTAATAAACCACGATATACTAAATATTTATACCCATTTTATGCCACCCAAAATATCTTTTAATTTTTGATTACAATTTTTTTTTATTTAGTCAAACTTTATTTAGTTTTTATGATGTATATGTAGGTAAATTTAATTAAATTTGATGTTAAAGGATAAGGTTCTTTTAATCAATATTTTTAAACTTATACTCTTTGGTTTAATGTCATTGAAATATTCAAGAGTTTATTTTGGATGTATTAGAAAATTAATAGAATTTAGGACAAGAAAAAATTAAATGAAGCAAATTCTGTATAATATAAGAGGACTGCACTGAAGAAAAAGAACACTTGCAGCTTGAAATACATCGTAATGATAAATTTTAATTATAGCAAATGTGTTTATCAAAATGAAAACTCTTCCGAGTTAAAATGTCATAATTACCCAAAATATCTGTATATTTATACAACCCATTCAAAATATCGACACTTTTACGAACATTTTTTTCGCAGCGATTTTCACTTTATTTTTTAAATATTCTTTATACTATTAACCTTATTGTTGGAAAACTCTGAACTCTGTACTACTACAATATTATAATAGGTACATCAGAAATTATTTCACATTTTAATTTCTAAATCTTCAAAAAATATTGAACAAAATGAGAAAATGTTCAAAAATATTTCCAAAAATCATACCACATTCATTGGGTTTTTGTGGATTTATAATTCTTAAAAGTTTATTTTGTTTTTTTCAATTTCTTCTTTTTCCCAAATAAAATACGAATATCTACATAAAAAATAACAAAAAACCAGGAGAAATTTGCGTAAATCGGGAAAGGACTTTCTAATCTCTATTTTATTTTCTAGGACGAAAAAATAAAACAACGCAAAAAAGAAAAATAAAATATTTTAGAACTTTTTTTTTTAATCTGAAATTTAAATACGATAAAAAACTGAAATGTAAGAAAAAATCTTTAAATATTTAAGGATTAAATTAAAGGAAAACAAAACAGAAAAGAGAAAGAAAGTAATAAAGAATAAAAAATTTTTTTACATGAATTGGAATTTCAGGCCCAAATTCGGTTAGAAAAAAAAAAACCCAACATTTTTGCCTTTTATATATTTTTTTTTAATTTTTCCTTCCTTTTTGGAAAGATAAGTGAAAGTTTTCTATTTTAATTTTCTTTTCGTTTTTTTTTGTTCAAAAACACAAAAAAACAAAAACGGTTTACAAAACATCAAACAAATATTAAATTAAATTATTTTATAAAAATGAGAAAGAAATCCTTTAAATTGTTATGGTAAAGATTTATTTTAGCTTTTCTTTAAAAAATTATTTTGTCAAACGAAATTAAATTTAAGAACAAATGGCAAAAAATTAAAATATTAAAAACCGTTCCGATGATGGTCTTAACAACACTTAATTTGAAAATTTCTAAAATAAATTTTATAATGGCATTTGGATTATCGAGAAATTAATATTAAAAATGTTTTATCAAACTAGCTGTAACTAATATGATAAATTTAATTGATTACGAGAAGAAGTTTACGACAATTGCCTCACACGAGTGAACAGAATGAATGACTTCGTTAAAGGAGCTTATAAAAGAAAAAAAATTAAATAATTTTCGTTCCCGAATCGGACACGAACTGGTAACATACCGCTTCCTAGATGGATGCTCTTCCAACTGAGTTACAGTGGTATAAATTGAGTGCATTTGCTTAAATTTTTAAAATGACCAGAATGAGTATATCTGACGTTGTTATAATATATAACAAATAAAATTATTAGTCCGATATTTAGGACATACTATTTAGTGTATTGCAAACACTGCAAACAGGTTGGATATAAGGGTTCGGTTTCATCAATTTTAAAATTTTAAAATTTTACTTAAACAAAGCGATTACTTAATTTAATTTTTATTACTTTTTATCAATCAAACTTTACAAATTTTTATTCATTTTTAGTTTAAGTCATAGACAATGGCAGCACACATGGCAGGCATCCCTATAAAATTGCGAAAAACAAGAGTAATAATTTTTAACACAATAATGGCATGGTTACAATGTACATTCGTACATAAGAACCACTGAATTTACATTAACAAAATAAAGAAAAAATAATCATTACAAAATTTTATATAAAAAATAAAAAATTATGTACTTACAGTTTCCTTATTACTTTTCGATTTAGCAAGAACATCTTCTAACCAATCCCATTGTTTTTGTGTATCTTGATTTTCATAACTACTTCCAACACCAGATAATGCACTTACTTGTCCACCAACTGGACCACCATAATGATGATGTGATGATGATCCATAACCATAACCAGTTCCTATACCATCATGATAATGATGTGAATGTTGTGTATTGTAACCTCCAATACCACCATTACTATTGCTACTACTAACACCACCACCGCCACCACCATGATGATAATAAAAATTTTTATATTCATTTGAGTCTATACTACCGCCACCATTTACATTACTTGGATGTCTTTTACGTACAGCTGCAGCTATTTGATTTGAATATGTTGGATCATGTTGCATAAAATTTGTATTCAATGCAATTATCCTTAAACGACTTTTTGTTTGTTCTATCGAATAATATCCACCTTTATCATGTAGTATGTAGAAATAAAAGAAAAAATAAACAGGAAAAAATATTCTTTTTTAGAAATTTATGGAAAATTTTATTTAGTTCAATATAATTTTTAAATTGTTTTCTGATGCAATAAGATGTTCGGTATATAATGTAAAACAAAAATTAAAGGATACAAATCAAATCTTGTAAATATAGAAAATTTATAATGTTAACCAAAAATATGGAGACAAAAAATTGCGCACAGTTTTAATCCTTCAATTAGCACTTTCAAAAATTTTTTATAACAAGCTTCTAATTCCTCTTTCATCGGAAGTTTTACCTAATTGTGATTATGTTTAAATTTCGTTAAACTTTATAAATGCACCTTATAAAGAAAAATTTCAAATATTTTTGGTCATTCAAATTCTAAACATGGACAGTGTGAATAGGCATGTGTCTATTGTATATCGTATATTGTATTATACATGTTATTTGTAATATGTGCAGATAAGTAGGTAAGTAAGTTGACGCGACTATCAGAAGATACACCCAGGTCAGATAGGTCCATTGTGATACCACTGGATATCCTTATCCCCACCCGCAGGTGAATCAACCCCAGTTCTTTATAAACCAGTTCTTTATAAACCAGTTTCTTCCATAACTCGAATGAAGAGTTATTCTTCCATAACGAGCACAGAAGATGAACCACAGCCTCGCCTCCTCCTCCTCCTCAGCACCTCCTGCAGGGATTGTGATAGTTCGCCGATGTGATAGTTCCCCGGGGGAGAAACATCAGACCCAATGTGCGACGCAGATGTAATTTTGATCAAAATTGTCTAGTCTGGCTGCATGGCTGTTGGTTTGCTCTATTGCCGCATTGTATAGCAATAGCTTGCACGTCGTTAGAAGAATCCATATGTGTTCCTTTTCAGGCAGAACTCCAAGAGTCGTTTCTTGCTTCACAAGCTCATCCACTCTGCATATATGTATATACTATTAAAATAATTTACGTTCCTCCAATGAACTTTTATATTTGATATTAATTGTAGTTGTTCATCATAGCTAATAATTTGAACAAGCCATCAACAAAGTCTGTCTGTTATGTTAGTACTCTAGGTCTATATACAACATATTTACGAATGAAACATTAATTGCTCTTTTTTATATAATTTGGTTTTTTTTTTCAATTCAAAGTCTTGAAAACTTAATTTCGAAACATTTTTAATTTCAACAACTTATTTATATACACATATAACAAAACCTAAAATATCTATGTTAATTTAATAACAAAGTGTTAACTGCTAATTTAACGCGAATAAAAATATTACAAATAGAGAGTATGGAGCATGAGTGATAGTGTTAAGTTTAAGCATATGCTAATCCCTTTTTATAATATCATTAAAAAATCAAATCACCTCAGCTTTTAAGTACTCCATTTTATATTGTCACAAAGCGCTGTGTTAATATTTAATAAAGCTGTTAAAAAATTTGTTCTCATTACATAGGTACTTGCTTGAATAACAAAAAAATCATAAAGTAATCTGAATTTTTCTTTTTGCCCATTTTCTGCGTAGAGAATTAGAATAATAAGATAATTAAAATATTTTTAAGTGCATGTATAAAAAGTGTCCTAAAAAATTATTTGTGATTTTGAAAATTTCAGTTAGTTTTATCTTTAAAATTATGATAGAACAGGCAAAATATGGCTATGAAAAATTTTATGTGAATTCCAATATTTAATAGTGGAAGACAATTTGGTCTAAATATATACAATATTTAATAGTGGAAGACAATTTACCAGAGATTAAAAACGATTTGATCAATTCGCTATGAGATATTGGACAGTATGATTTATTGACTCATGGCACCTAAAGCCATGTCTTTATGCCTCTATTCAATTTAGTGAAATAAAAATAATATCTTAATAAAAATTATTCAACCTTCGTGATACTAGGTAATATAAGTTATGATGGTGAGAAATTCAATGTCACAAATCTGAAGAACACCACTACAAAAAAAATTATTTAAATCATTCTGAATTCGGAATCAAACTTGAATTATAAAATTTGGTCATATTAAAAATTTTTAAAAAATAAAATCCAATAATTTTTTATTTTTAATTAAAAATTCGAATTACCCTCTCATCCAAGGTATAAAAAAATTAAAAATTTTTTTTTTTTGTTAATTACTATGTTATCACTATTTATTATATAATTCAGGTGATTAAAATATCTTACAGCTTGCCTGAGTACTTATAAGTTCTCTCCATTTAAAAAAAAATTAAACTTAAATTAAATATTACACGATAAAACAGCGTAATTAATTTGTTTAACTTACATTCATTCTAAAAAGGGATAAATTTTAATTATCCTTTAAAACTTATTATGCATATTATATAAGCATTATTATAATTTCGCAATTTGCATAATTTTTTTGTATAGGTAGGTAGCACATAATGTATGTAGTAGGTATATGTACATAATTTGTGTACACTTATACGCCATAGTACGATAATTTTTTTTTTCAAAATAAATAGAAACTACAACTTAAATTAATTTTTTTTTTTTTTATTTTAAACAACTATTAAAAATTTTTCACCGTTTTATGCGCTTATTCAAAAAAAAATTTTTTTTATTTAACTTTAATGTTTTCTTTTAAATACTAAAATTTACATAATATGTGATAAAAGTAAAATAACATTTATTTTCATATGGTTTTAAATAAGGATTAACAGAGATATTTTTAAGAGTTTAAATATAAAATTTTTGCCTCGCTAAATAAATATGTATTACGTGCATGTGCGTGCACCAAGTCGTTTTAAAGATAACATTATTAATATTGTGCTTGTTTGTAATTTAAAAGGACATGATTATAATATTATAAAGTAATAGCAGCAAGCGTATGTTGTATTGTAGAGCTGAGCATTACTATAATAAAGTTTGGTCGAATCAGGTTTGGACTTGTAACGTAGCATTTTTCCCTTGAGTAAGTAAAAATACTGCTTTTAAAAACAATTTAGATACTATATTATTAAAATTATACGAAATCATTCATATACGAAAATATTTCAAAAAAATTGCATACATCTAGGATAAGACAAAAAAAAAAATTTGAAAGATGCCTTAACATTGAACTAGAATATTAGGATTAATTGCGTGAGCTAAGAAAAAAAATTAAATTTTTTGATTGTATGACATTAATCATTAGTTTTCCGCATTTATAGAAATCCGGAAAATTTTGCAGTTTCGAAAATATAAGATTCCAAAAATACAAATTTCACAAATTTCTGGAAGTTATAACTTGATAGGGGATGGAGCTGCAGAAAATTATTCTTCCAACGAAATGTACTATTTATTAGTGTCAAAAATGTGCTAAAATTTTAGACACTTACAAGCAGCGGTCGATATAAAAGAAAGACGATATAAAAAATTTGAAAGCAACGTATTTTAGATAACGGTAAATTTTAGGGATCATATTGTTTTTCCAAAGCTCAAATATGGTATATCATGGTAGAACAAGACAGCCACTACTTTTTTGCATTTGAAGTATTTCAAAAACGTTTGTTGTTTTGTTACAGCAAAGAGTTAAAAAATAGAATTTTTAGGTTTTTGGGGGCTATAACTTTTGAAGGGGGAGATAGGTAAAAATTTTCTTCTACGAAAATTAGTTTCCAATAAAGATGTATGTAATTATACGAAATTTCATAGATTTCCATTTTCAAAAGTGTAGAAGTCTTGTACTCATGTTCACAGACAGAAAGACTGGTGTATAAAATGAAACTAATAAACAAATATTTTCAAAAATACTTTGGTAAATTCGAAGTGTAATTTGAACGTTTTTAATATTTTGACACTATAAAAATTCTTATGCTGGAAAAATGAAGACACTCTTTGAAATTTACTGAAATTAATACATTGCAAATTGTGCGAAACAAGAAAATAGTCATAATTTTGAGTTCTGTTATACATATAATATATTATTCTTAGAATTCAAATTTAAAATATTTACTTTTACAAATTAACAAAAAATTACGTTATTACTCGTAAAGTGTTTAAAACATTAAAATCTTGCAATATTAAATTGAAATTTCAATTTTTAACTCCACATATTATTTTTCAACATTTTAAAATGAATGGAGAGTACTCAAAATGCATAGGAGATGTCTTCTATTTAGGAGATAAAGATACTTAAAATACACCACTTTTGGTCTTATTAATGACATCGTAAATCTTAAATGTCAATATTTTTGTGTTTGTGCGAGTAATTTTGTATTAATATCACTTATACATATACACACCATGTAAAAGGTAATTATTTCACAGTTCTCATTTCACAGATATAGTATAAATGTACTAAATTTCTATCAACAAATTTTGCATATCTTTATTCACCGGTAAATAAGCAATGACGTGAAAACAAAAATTTTTTGCATTCTAGACAAACTTCGAAATTTTTTGCTCTTTTCTCTTTTTAATTTTGTTCAAAATTCAATAGAAGACAATAATAATTAGAGTGTAATCATGATAATTTCTCTCATTTTTCGAAATTTATGCCTATTTTATAAGCTTTCATATTAAATATATAAGACCTTAAAACGAATCCAAACTTAAACCAATAAACATTGAAAATACCAAAACGGATATAGAATCATGATTTTTTGTTAGAGAAGGAATAAAACATAAATTTTTCCACAAAATGATTGTATTTTGAAAAACCAAAACAAAAAGAAGGAATTTTTGTTTTTGTTGAAAAAAAAAACAAAATTGCATTAAAATTTGATAAAGGACAACAAAATTTAATTAAATGTGCACGCATTTTTCAAAATTAACTAAGTAGAAAACTTTATGACCTGCAAAAATTAATGGTAATTAAAGTGTTGAACCATGACATGCAAAATGAAAAAAATAAAAAGAAAAAAAAAAATAATAAAAATTTTTCAAAAGGTAATTTATGTTATAAGAAATGTGTGCCATCCTACCACATATATGTATGTATGCAGTGGCATACCAGAGTGTGTGTGTTGAATATTTGGGTAATTTTAAAATAAAACTTGCAATATAAATCGTATCTATTGTTACCCAGCAAAGGCAATTTTTCAACAATTTAACACCAATATTTTTGTTACAATACAATTATTTTTAATTTAAATTTATTGCAAGAATTTTATATTTTAGATTTGGTTTGACTCATTCAAAAATGCAGCTTTTTACTTGCGGTATGTTAGAGAAATTTTATAAATAATACATTTCGACAATATCTATGCCGATAACTTTTATTGACGAATTATAATTTATTATAATAAAAACTGTATGACGCTATAAAACTAGTGCATGATATCCATGCACTAGCCCTATGCTCCTTCTAGGAGTCAATAAGGAAAAAAAAAAATAATAAAAAATAGTTCTTGAATCCGAGATTTTTCTCTGAAATATCTAATCAGATTTTTCTCTTTCGTTCAACTTTCTTCCTGTGTACTAATACATATTGATTTATTAGTAGGTAGCAAAGATCTATTTAATGTTTCCTAAATTTGATTTAAAAAGTAAAGAACATGTCATTCATGTGCTGTTAGTTAATTTATATTTTAAATACATTATAATTGTACGAACCTATGTTCGAAGGGCTAGAATGCGATAAAAATCGTTAAAATTTCTTGACTCCTTGTGCAAAAGTTATTTAATCGTTTATTATGGAAGCGATTGAAATTAAAGAGCTGAAATTTTACAAAATGGAAGCTCTGGAATAATTACAAAATTTCAGAATATGGAATAAGACCATCAATGAAATTCCTTTGAAATAATTATGAGTGCATATGGTAACTGCCACATATATAAAAGAACTGCATCTACCTAAAAAACCCATAAGTATTTGTGAAACAGTGTGACAATGTAGTTAACATACAGCACTTGAAATCACTCATTTGCACGGGTATTAGAGAGTTGACACGGTTTTCTCTACCTTTTCTCGTACTCCCTCAAAATTTAAAGTTTTCGTTTTCTCCGAAAAGAATTGCAAAAATTAAAAAGATGTTATTTTGGTTCTTATCGTTAGTGTTTTATAATGGTGGTCTATCTTCAACATAGTAAATTAATTTGAATAATTTTATTTTGGAATACGCCATATAGTTTAATAAGTTATTTATTTGGGGAAGTAATTTATACTATCAAAAATATTCAAAAATAATTGTATAAAATTTTATTGATTTAATATTGGCTCAACTACAATTGTAATCCTTTTCATAAAAAATGTAAGAGTAATACGATAATTAACTAAAATCAAAAATTATTAAAAAAACGTAAGTGTCTTTTTTATAAGCCATTAGTTAAATCCTCACTCTTGTTTAAATGAATTTTTTTTTTATAAATCCAAAAACAGAAACTACCAATTCATTTCACTAAACAAAAAAAAAAATTCAATTCTGAAAACGAATTTAAAAAATATTTCAATAAAATACTATTAATTTTTTTTTTTTTGTATATAATATTTCACATATAATATGTATGTTTGTGTGCATGTAATCCTAATAGACCATTAAACGCTCCATTGAATTGCAATATACTTTATAATAATATTATTATGTATATAGAGAATGTTATGTATAGAAAATGAGAGAAAAAAAAATTATATCCTAAGCTCGCATACAATAAGCGTTCATTATATTATTTGAACATATACTCAACTACATTCATGTATATTTGTATGTGGGTAAAGAAGACATAGAAAACCTTATATTAAATCCATTCAACATAATGTAATTTTTACTGAATACATAAAGATAACATAGAAGAAAATAATACTATATGTAATTGTATATATTTGTTGATTTTAATCCTTATCGTATTACATTTCTATTAACAAAAACACAAAAAGGAAAAAAAAGGATTTTGTCTTTTTTGATTCTTAAAATGTTAAACATTGTAAATTGTAATATTTAACAAATAACTTTATGCTCATTTCATTAACATGAGCTCAATAAATTTGTATACATAAAAGTATGTATATATTATATATAAAATACAATATATATATATATATAGAAAAACTAAAGAAAATTAAATGCTATTGACATTCATGCTATGTGAATAAGCATACTATAATAATTGTATTAGTATTTAGAAAAATAATAGACTTTTGTAATTTTATAATAATTTAAAAAATAACAAGAAACATATTCAATTTCATAATATTAAATTACAGAACTAGTAAGGCTAATAATATTATACAAAATCTATACAACATAATAATAAAATTATATAATAACGTATAGACTTTTTAAGAATTTTCAGTTTTGTTTAATATTATATCCTTTCTTATAGTTTAATTTAATAGTCGTATAGGCATTATATACAAAATTATATTATATCAGTTTAATTACCTTTTTCAAATGTTTGTAAGGCTTCTGATGGTAACCATTGTCTCCATTGTTCACCTAAACGATGAAAACTAATATCTGGTCCATCATTATGTCCCAATACAGGGAAAACAAATTGTGATGAAAATGTTCTACCAAATAAATCTGTTATATTACGTAAAATTTCTAAACGGTGGGGTTCCAATCTACGACGAGATGAATCTGATAGACCATCACTGAAAATATACAAAATATATTATGTAAGGAAATGAATTTTTTTTTTGTATGATAAATTAAAAAATTTCAATTTTATAAATTTTTATAATATAGCTAATTATATCTAATTATAATACTAAAAATCTTATAGGTGATAATTTCAACATTATAAAGAGCTTTAGCAAAATAGTGTGGAAGTTAATTATAATTTTTTTATATTATTTTAAAAATTTCTTTGTAATTTTATAAAATTCTGACTGATTAAAGAAATTTTAATATGCTTTCATACAGTTTTGACTTAATAATTAAATCATCTGAATATCTATAGCTTTATTTTTAAATTTTTGACCAACAACACAATTATTATATGAGTTTATTATAGTTGGTTGCTTATACATAACGTATACCATTCTTTCATTGAATATAATCCAGCAACATTTGATACCAAAATTAACAACTAGTTCTTTAGCTCCTTAGAAAAAGTAAATTAGAAAAAAGTAATCATTAGATTCATTTTTACCGTCCTTTCATCCGCCCGAACGTCCATTTGTCTGTTTACAAAACTTCTACACTCTTTGATAGAAAACTGATATTTTATATACACAAATAGATCTTTGCTAAAAATTTATTTCTGTGGATAAAAATTTCATTCCCCCCCACTGGTTTTTTAACCTATAGTTGTTTCGGAATTACAATAATTATTTAAAATCAGCATACGCAGGAGACTAGTGACTTGCTCTTTCACCGCAATGCAGTATATTTAACTATTACAATGATCGTTAAAATTAATCGTTTTCTCAAAGCCGCTTTTTTCCAAATTTTTGGTATGCTTTTCTTCTAGACGATGGTGTTGCAAAAATGAGGTATATCATAGCCGTTTAGATACTACTAAATAACTTTTTTCGTTAAAAAAATTTTTTTTTCCATCTTTATATCCCATCTCAAGTTATCGCGACTTCATAATCGTAAAATTTCAATTTTCGCCGCCTATTCCGAAACTGTCATCAAAATATTTAGTTATTTATTTTCACTCACCCACTTAACCATCAAATTTTACCATTATTTTGACAACCCTTTATTAAAATGTTCTTATCTTATCCTAAAGTTATGCAACGATTTTGATGTATTTTCGAATATTAATGAAAATATTTGATATTCTGTAAGTAAATTACCTTTTTTAACTTTGTTCAAGGGAAAAATGCTTCTTTATAAAACACTGGTTTGGTTCGAATTTATATAATTATTAAATTTCTTAAAACTAAATTGAATAAACTGACCTAAATTATATTATGCCATTAAAAAACACCGACAATATTTTTAATTTTCAAATTACTTAAACAAAAATCAATCAATTAGAAAACACTATAATTTTTTAACTGATTGCCATTAATTATACCCGTACTAACGTATGTTCGAAGGGTATACTAAATTTGCCTTACCGTTTGTAACGCTAAGAAATAACGGTCTTAGATATAGACTCAAGTGTATGTTTTTGACCAGCGTCAAATTCTGAGTTGATTTAGCTTTGTCTGTCCGTCCGTCCGTCCGTCCGTCCCAACGATAACTCAAAAACTAATGGAGCTAAGTTCACCAAATTTTCACATATGATTTATTGTAGTAAGTGCCAGAACCCTATTTAAATTGGACATGATCGGGGCACCGGTTCGGGCAGCTGCCATACAACTTAAAAATTTATTTTGCTATATCTCAGAAACTATAAAAGCTGTGGTATTGAAATTTCACACAAACGAATATGTTAGTAGGGCCAATGTGTCTCATAAAAGTCGTTGAAATTACTTGGCTCCTTCTGGTACCTGCCATACAACTTCAAGAGTTATTTGGCTGTATCTCAGAAACTATATAAGCTATGGTATTGAAATTTCACACAAACGAATACACCAGTAGGGCCAATGTGTATGATAAGAGTCGTTGAAATTACTTGGCTCCTTCTGGTACCTGCCATACAACTTAAATAGTAGTTTGGCACACACAGTATTTTGAAAAACACATAGTACTGAAATTTTGCATACATTAATATGGTAATACGGCAACCTAAAGTCATCGTCTGTCGCATAGTCAGTTATGGCATCTTTATTTGCACATAGGATAACAAATTCGTACGGGTATCACAGAGTTGACAAGGTCAACTCTATTTTTTTTCTCGTTTTTTTATGTATTTTGCATAACTTATTAAAATTGTTATTTTGATCTTATACAATATGCAATTGTATTTGTAATACATGGCTAGTTGTAGTTGGATAGCTTTTGTTTCTTGTACCAAAATAAGAGACTAGTAATAAAATTGAATGTGAATCATGTAGGATATTTTTTAATTCGTTTTTTTTTTATTAAAAAATAAATAATAAAAAAATAAAATTAAAATATAATTTAAAAATTGTTTGCAACAAAAATCAGCGTGGACATTAAAAATCTTTTGTTAAATTAAATTTTCTCTCTTAATTTTCATTTTGTGTGTCTATCGCTTCCTTTATTCTTGGTTTATTCTCTATACATATAATGTCATCTAATAATTATTATTGTGCTTCAAAACATATACTCTGCTATATATGAAATAAAATGATAAAAAGAATAATAAAGTTGTGCCATAATACAAAGAGTATTCAATTTGAAGTTTCATAGGTAGAAATCTTATAGTAACACTAATGAGTAAGTAATTTTATGGTTGTTCCATTCCGAAAGTCAAATTAAATCGAAAATGTATATTCGGCGGGTGTTATTCCAAATGAAATTGTTTTGATAAAGTAATAGCACAGGCACTAACATTGTTTTCATGATTCCAAAAAGCAATTTTGTTTGACAGAGTCTTAAAATACTTATCATTCCGAGCATTGGGAAAAAGTTGGCCTGATCGATCATAGTGTTTAAAATTTATGAAATATTTTTTATTTTTTTCATAAAAAATTTTTCAATTCTATGAACGAATTGGAATAACCATAACATTTAAAATTTTTAACAGTACAAAAAATTATCTTTTGTGAGAAAAATATTGCATTGAAATGCAAATTTTCCCATTCTATCTTTTTATCTTTTTTATATAATTTTTTTTAATAAAGTTATAAAACCATTCTTCTCAATTTTTGTGTTTTATTTGCTTTTTTATAGTTTTTCCCCATTTTTTAATTTTTTTTTATTAGAAAAGATGAAAATATCTACACACACAAAGTTAATGTTCATATTATAAATTCATACAGGATGATTAGGGAAGGTATACAACGCCATATACCATTTGCTAAAGGGTCAAAAATGGATAAAACTTTTGTTCTGGGCTACGTACTCTATCTTTTAAAGTTTTGTGAGTTACAGGGATTTTAACAATTTTTCACGAAATTTCTACTTCTTCATACATGTATTGATTTTAAGTGTTTGAAGGTTCTCTCTGTTTCGGAACGGAAGTTATAAACAAAAAAACTTAGATAATATGTTATAATTTCGCCAAATTTTCATTTAAATCCTTGTAGCTCTGGAACTAATCCCATTTAACACTATGTTTCGATAAAAAATTTTACTCATTTTTGGTCCTCTACCCAATCGTATGTAACTTTTAACAAGTTGCTAAATCACCATGTATAGACATGTATGTAGGTATCTATAAGGAGAAAAATTTTTGAGTCATGGCCAGAAGTCATAATAAAAACAATTTTTTTTTATTAAAATATAGAAAATTTTTTATATTAGTGGTATCGGGCTGTTTCTGTTATTCGCGTAATGAAAGTGATATTTTCAAAATTTTTATCGTCAATTTAGTCATTGGACTGAGAAGAGAGTAAGTAGCTTTATTATACCCGTACGAACGTATGTTCGAAGGGTATACTAAATTTGCCTTACCGTTTGTAACGCTAAGAAATAACGGTGTTAGATATAGACTCAAGTGTATGTTTTTGATCAGCGTCAAATTCTGAGTTGATTTAGCTTTGTCTGTCCGTCCGTCCGTCCGTCCGTCCGAACGATAACTCAAAAACTAATTGAGCTAAGTTCACCAAATTTTCACAAATGATTTATTGTAGTAAATGCCAGAACCCTATTTAAATTGGACGTGATCGGGGTACCGGTTCGGGTAGCTGCCATACAACTTCAAAATTTATTTGGCTATATCTCAGAAACTATAAAAGTTGTGGTATTGAAATTTCACACAAACGAATATATTAATAGGGCCAATGTGTCTCATAAAAGTAGTTGAAATTACTTGGCTCCTTCTGGTACCTGCCATACAACTTCAAAATTTATTTGGCTACATCTCAGAAACTATAAAAGTTGTGGTATTGAAATTTCACACAAACGAATATATTAATAGGGCCAATGTGTCTCATAAAAGTCGTTGAAATTACTTGGCTCCTTCTGGTACCTGCCATACAACTTCAAAAGTTATTTGACTATATCTCAGAAACTATAAAAGCTGTGATATTGAGATTTCACACAAGGGAATATATTAGTAGGGCCGATGTGCTTGATAAAATTCGCTAAAATTTCTTGGCTCTTTCTGGTAGCTGCCATACAACTTCAATAGTAGTTTGGCACAACCAGTATTTTGAAAAACACATAGTACTGAAATTTTGCATAAATTAATATGGTAATACGGCAACTTAAAGTCATAGTCTGCCCCATAGTTAGTTATGGCACATTAGTTATTCGCACATAGGATAACAAATTCGTACGGGTATCACAGAGTTGACAAGGTCAACTCTACTTTTTTTCTCGTTCTTATTAAATTTATGTTAAAAGTTTTCCAAAAAATTTAACAATGTTAAACGCGCTTCTAATTAGAATAGCTGTGTAGTTATTAAATAACGGAATTTTTATAATTAATCTTAGAAGTTTTGTAATTCATTGTATTTTGCACAGCGTATACGTTATAGTTCCAGAGCAGTTCCCGAGTTTATTAATAATTATTAGTAGTGCAAATAATGTTAGTAGTGCATGTTACTTAAATTTACACTATAACATTTTATTTTGTATTTAATACTTGGTACGGAAATCTAAATTTTAGTTACTTGAATTTTAT